GGCAGCACAACATTGACGTTGATGTACTCACTATATACAGTATGGAATGCGCTTAAAGAATCTTCTGACATGCAGTCAATATAGTAAATAACCGAAGTTGATAAATAATTATTCCGTGGAAGAAAACTATTGTGGTTAAATAAAGACAAACTCTAGTGAGCCACTTAGGTTTTTAACGTCTTGAGATCTTATCTTTTGTACGTTGATCTACATGATTAAACAAACAACATCAATATTCGAAACGATTGCATCAAATTGTTAAGGCTGGTGAGGAAAGGTTCTTCTAAGCTTAAATATATAATACTTGAGTAAATACTTTAGATTTATCACCTCTATACAGGTGGGGGCACCTATCGAGTATTCTCTGTACCCTCAAAGTTGACTTACCCACTGCTGATGTTTCTGTTTTTTTGGGGGGTGGAGAAAGAAAGAATTTCGGTGACCCGGGTTTGGCGGCTGCGACGGCCTCCGCCGGCTGATGACGCTGGAATGTGGCCACCAAGGCTCCTCTTCGTTGGTTCTGCTGACGTCGCTGTTGCGTTTTGTTTTTATCTGGTTTTTTTGCCTCCTCCAATGCCGGCTTAGTTGTTGTTTTTTGGCTTTTTCTCTGGCCTTTTGCTTTTGCCTCTGCTGCTGACAAAGGTGATGGCAATTTGTTGCTGTTTGCTCTTCTTCGACTTCGCACCTCGCAAACTGCCGTTATTCATTGACGAAGGGCAAAAACAAACACACACATGAGAAGAGAAGAGAGAGAAAAACACAAACACTGAATATTTCAGCAATTCAATCATTCACATATTTTTTTGTTGCTATTTAGCAATTATGAACGAATTATCTCACGGTCAACTGGTTTTTGGTTTTTTTATTGTATTATACGATTCGAAATTCGAATTGATGGAAATGCAAATAAACGCGCTGTGAGAAAAGAACATTTTCCGGGCCAAAGCAAAAGGAAAAAGAAAATTCAAAACGGCACGCGACGCACGTACTTAATTACTTCATGTGTGTGCCTACAAGTGTGTGCAACAGCAACAACAACTATAAACTCAATGCCAGAGAGCCACCCACACGAACTGAAAAGTCAAACGGACAAATTGAATTTCGGCCTGCAATTTACGCTTTTAATTAAATCATTAAAAAGGGGGCACAAAGATTACGATTACGCCATTATACACCACACAGAAAATAAAGTAGCTTCAAATCAAATCAAAATTTAAAGATCAAATTTAATTTGATTTAATGAATTGTAAATGTAATGTATGTAAATGTAGTATTTTCTGATAAACGAAGGTCAAGTTCAAATCTCACTGCCGCCGAAAAATTGTATTTTTGTGTTCTAAAAAATTTACCAGCAACTTTTTGTTGCGTGTAGTAGCAACAGTTGCAGTGTTTGTGTTTTGTTGCTCAAAAATGTAATTACGCACTCCAATGCAAATGCAATCGACAGCAAATTACATATTTGTAATGGTTTGCAATTGAACTGCTTTTAAAATTGAATAGCAATTAAATTTTTGCTTCGCAAACACGCACACAAACAGAGCCCAAAAAAAACCAGACGGACCACTACACACACTCACACAATCGCTGTTGCGCCGACGCAACCGCGATGCAGAACTTTTTTTCCTCTTCTTCCCTTGGGTTTACCTTTGGCTATTATCTATTTTAGCATAATTTCGTTCACACACTAGCTTTTGTTTGCATTGAAAATTAGCCGCGGCGGCTGTAATGCTGTAATTAAACAATGCGGTATTTCGAAACACACGCTGAGAATGATCAACAACACCAACACAAGCATAAGCGCGCCCTTCTCGTCGCACACACTTTTATTTAACACGTAAACAACAACGCCGCAACGCCGACGCAACTTATTTTTCCGGCAGCGACGCGTCCGCACACGACCGCTCACGTTCCGTTCCGAAGAGAGAAATTGTTTTGAAAATCAGAATCACTTGTTGCACTCTTTGCCGAGAGTGGGCCCATGGCGAAAATACCACGCAAAAGTTGTAAAAGTATGGTATTTTTTCTGAACTTTCGTACGGTAGCACTCTCTGTTGACTGTTAACCGTTTATGGTAATTCATAATACGTTAAAACTTATAAATATTTAATATAACTTTCTTATAAATAAAATGGAAAAAATACCATACAATAACATGATTTTTTTATGTTTTGGGTTTTCTTTTAAGTGGACATAAACAATAATTTCAATATTTAGAATATCATATATAATAATTCTATATCTAATAGGTCTACTTGCAGGGGTTACTTAGTAAATAATAATAAGTATGAGGTAATAAAGTTATTCTATTAATTTATGGAAATTGGCTAAATCCTTGCAGAGAGCAACAAGTGCTCCCCTCGATTTTCAGTTAACAGTAGTGTTACGTTTGGACTTAACATGAGCATGCCGGTGGTCTCCAGGACTCCGTTGTTCGCCTCCCTCAAGTTGAACGGCGTCGAGCATATGGCAAACCGGCGGCTCACAACATCCCGTAACACGCGGATCTCGCCGCGCACGCGCCTCTTGGCACTGCCAGGAAAGTGGCTCGTCCCGCTCCAGGCCAGCTCCAGCTTCTGCTGACCGTTGTGCTCCCGGAAAACCATCCGCGTGTGGATATTGGGCAGGAGTTGCAGCACAAGCTTCATGTCCGCGGCGACTATTTTGGCCAGGTGGTTTAGGTCTGCCATCACCGGATAGCCACTGTGGACATGAAGCAAGGCGTTGTTGGGGCAATCGTCCACAATAAGTGCAATGCTTTTCAAACTCCACTAATGCGATGGCCTCCCGCACCCGCTCAAACGCCGCCATGATCTGCATGGCCGTAAATGTACTTTTCTTCTATATACATAGGTAAATAACTATATTTAAGTACATATGCATGAGTTTTAGATATTTGGGGCTACTTACCACTTCGGTGTAAGCAACCTGTTTCACGGACCCGTCATCTGAGGTTCCCATCATTATTAGCGTGTGTCCCGGCGTCGGCTGGGTGCGTAAATTCTTTAATTAAATTGTTAAAAAAAAATACACAAGAGACTTGGAACACAACCCAGTCAGGTGTATGACGTCTACCATCAGGTAAAAACACCTGCCGTGATCCTTTAAACGATTTACGCCGTCCAAGTTTTTAAGGATCCCGCTTGGGCGGAGCGGATCATCCACCTGTGGGAGGTGCTTTTCCACCTGGGCGCGCAGGTGCGGCATGGCAAAGAATTTAAGGCTGAAGAGGTCCTTTATATAAAAAACACAAGTATGGTCACTTAAAAACTTTGAACAACGGCGTCAAAACTGTATGACCACATTGGAGAAAACGCAGAAAGTCCCGTAACGCCATTCGAAATTGGCCAGAAAGCGCCTATATTTGCGTTAAACCCAAAGGTGGTCACACTGCCTGGACCTGAAATCTGTGTGTCGCGAAATTCTCCGTTCCGCCGCATTTTCCGCGAGAAAAAAGTGACGACGACGGGAGCCGGGGGTGGGGGGCAGGTCGCCGCGATCAGTTTTTCGTGGAAAGTGATCGAATACACCAGTTTTCCCGTCGCGTGTGTTACCCATGTGCAAAATACAGTGCTGCCAGACCGTCAAACTGAACTTTACCGGTTTTCCCCAATTTCTCAGTTTTCCGAACTCGGCCACCAGCGTGAGGCCCCCAAAAGTTGCGCCCCGCTCCCCCACACCCGCCACGACCATGGGAGACCCTCAGAAAAGCGTAGGAAACGCTCCCAAGCCTCCCGACCCGAAATCGACCCTCAAGACGACCCTCCCAATCCCGGCGTTGCCAGCCTCCCCATCCCGGCGTTGCCATTTCACTGTAAGCTACAGTCCTAACAGATGTTAATAAGCAGCCTGTAACCATAATTCTGTTAATATTTAACTATTTTGGCTACAAAATGGTGCTATCACTGCTCACCAAGTTGGTTGAGAACTTAGCTTTGAAAAACTTCCCTGCAGCGCCTCTATCGCAGACATTATGCGTTATGTTGTACATAATATCCGCTTGTGGCGCTCCGAATATGCTGTATATAATATCCGCCTGTGTCGCACCAAGAATGTTGTATATAACATCCGCCTGTGTCGCACCATGTATGTTGCATATAATATCCACTGGTGTCGCAACAAGTAAAAAAAAAAATAGGTCGTTAACTGTTAACGCTTTTCCAAAACTCTGGCTTTTTTATGAGCACTTCAAATTCATCCAATATAGGAAGCTTTAGTTTAACTGTTTCCCGTCCATTTTATTATTAATATATTGCTGAAAAAGAATTACTCCCACGCATTAATAAAACATTCAGAGATTGTAATTTTTTTTTTAACAAATTCTTTATATTTGCTTGCGTTTTTAAATTTTTTTGTTCTTTTTGTATGTTTTTTTCTTTGTTTTTTCATTAATAAAACTTTGTTTTAAGTTGTTCTTTTGTTTGTTTGTTGTTTTTGCGGTTTTTGTATATAAATAATAATACTTATGGCTAGTAATATAGTAAACGTTTTTCGATTTTTCATCAATTTTGTAGTGCTGCAGCAAATGCTGCATCGTCTTTAGGCCAAAACGTAAATTTTGTTAATTGATCTGGTTTATGTTGTTTTTCAATAAGTTCCAAACTGCCGTTTGTTGTTGTTCGTTTTGACGCTGTTGTTGTGTGGTGTGTGGAATCGAAAAACTGCAACAATTGCAACTAACAAAGCTAAAGTTACGCTAATATAGAATTCTTGTTTTGCTTCCGTTTCAAACTTACTTGGCTAGGAGTTCGCTGCTCTGCCTTACGACTAACAATATTTACACTTACAAAAATTTTCTAATAGTTTTGCTTGCTCATTTGTCATAATCATTGTTCTGCCTTTTCTTACAAAATTTCTTTATAGATTGCAATTAATTTGTGTGTCCTCGATTGCTTGTGTGGGGAAGGGAGGCGGAGGGGAGGTGAGGGGGAATAGGACCAATGATTAGGGATATATGTATGTTCACAACCTGAGCATAATTAGCATTTAAGATCCCCCTTGTTCCCTCCCCCGTTTCGTCGATTCAATACTGCTTGGAATTGCTAGTGGGCGCCAGCAGGCGACGCGACCAGCACGCCGCCATCCGCTGAGGATCCGTTGTCGTCGTCGTCGTCATCGTTTTCGTCCTCGTCGTCATCGTCTACAACTGATACTAACTGCCGACCATGATGTGGGCCGGCTGCTCCAGCTCGTTGTCGTGCAGGCGGGATGCGGCCACCACCTGGCCGCCCAGTCCGCTCTTGAACAGATCCTCGGAGCTGAGCTTGCAGCTGGGCACCAGCTCGGTGAACTCCGATCCCAGGCCGAACTCCATGTCCAGGAATCCGTACTCCCAGGTATTGGCGCCCGCCGACACATTCGAGCTAATGCTGCTCACATACGACGAGGTCAGCGAGTGGGTGGCCGACGAGATGGTGGACAGGGTGGTGAAGGTGGCAGTGGTGGAGCTGCTGCCGCACGAGCTGCTGTTCCCGCTGTTCGCCTGAACGGTGGTGAAGCTGCCACTGAAGGCCAACGTGGAGCCCGACGATGAGCTGGAACTGCTGGCGGGCACTGAAACAACCGGCACCGCTGTGGGCGTGGCCGCCGCCGGCAGTATGCTAAACAGATCGTTGTTGTTCAGCGGATCCAGCGCCGACTGCGAACTCAGGCTGAGCACCGAGCTCCAGTTGATGGATCGCGTGGAGTCATCGTCCGCATAGCCCGAATCGCTGGTATCGCAGTTGTTGCTGCTTGCAACAGGGGCAAGTGGCGTGCTGGCACTGCTGCTCGAAGTATTCCCACTACTGCTGCTCATCACCGTCGAGGAACTGGTGTTGTTGTGGTTGCTACTGCTGCTGGTGGCGGGGGAACTGCTGACGTTGCTGTTGCTCAGGGTTGCTGCTGCTCCTCCGCTTGCCGCTGCTGCTGCCGCCGAAGCTGCTGCCGCTGCTGCTGTGGTGGTGGGGCAGGCGGGAAAGGGCGTGGCTCGACCGGATTGCAACTCCCGAAAGGGATAGTGATCGTAGGGATGCAAACTACTGCTGCCGTTTGCCGACGTCGCTGTTGTCGCTGAGGAGTTGTTGGTGTTGCCGCTGGCATTGCTGCTTGTTGCACCCGCCGATGTATCACAGTTGCTGGGCTGCGTGCTGAAGACGCCCGCTCCCGCTGCCACGCCCCTGTAGGCGGGCTGGCTCTCCAAACGCTCATGGTAGCCATGCGGTTGGCTGGGCGGCTGTTGTTGCTGTTGCTGCTGGGGCTGGAAACTCAGTTGCTGGTAGTGGTCCATGTTGGCCAAGCGGGCACAGTTCAAAACGGGCGCATAGTCCATCTGTTGCTGCTGCTGCTGCTGCTGCTGGGGATGTGGATGCAGTGGAGCTGGCGGGGATTGCTGCTGTTGTTGTTGCTGGTAGGCTGGGTGGTATTGTGCCGCTTGAGCCGCCGCCGCTGCTGCCGCGGCTGCTGCTGCCGCCGCCTGCTGGTGATGCTGCTGCGCCGCCTGGTGCAACTCCTTGGCCTCCGCCTCGATCTCGCGATCGATCCGCTTCAACGTGTTGCAGATGAGCACAGAGCGGTACAGCGACTGCTCGGACACCTGGCGGAAGCGGGAGAGCTTGAACATGGACAGATTGCGTATCTTCAGTCGCGTGTCCTTGTAGCAACTCCTGTTGGCACTGCACCAGCCACCGGCTCTGCCATCACAGCAGCGCTTGAGGGGCAGGCCATGGAGTGGCAGGCCGGCAAATGGAACCACGGGCGCCGACGAGGGCGGTGGACTGATGGGTGATCCTCCGGCGGCACCGGATGCCCCACTACTGCAGCCCAGATCCAGATACGACTTTCCGTTCTCGGCACAACGTATCGTTTGCTGTGGCGCCGCTGGTGGGGAATAGGCTCCTCCGTTGGTCGCCTCATAGAACTGCTGGGCTGCCACGCCCACCGAGGGATTGGCCGGACCCGGACTGCCGCCCGCCGTCGCCCACTGAGGTGGTGCAAAGCCACGCGCCTGTTGCGGCGTGGGCGGGGATTGGGTCATGTGCTGGGGTCCTCCGGTCCGCGAGCAATTCTGCTGCGGGAATGGCTCCGAGTAGTAGTTGGGCTGCCTGCTTCCATAGCCAGGGGCGTAGCTCCTCTGCTGCTGCGGATGCTGTTGCTGCTGCTGCTGGGCGAGTTGTTGCTGCTGCTGGGGATGTGGTTGCTGCTGGGACAGTTGCTGCTGCTGCTGCTGCTGGTGGGGATGAGGCGGCAGTTGGTGCGGAAGAGGGTGCGGGTGCGGCACAAAGGTATGATAGCGCATGGGACAATAGGTCGGGATGATGCTCTCCTCCTCCTCGTAGTCGTCCTCAAAGTCATCATCGTCGTCGTCCAGCTCATCGGCGCTGAGCAGAGTGGTGGCCAGCGTGGATCGGGTGGCGATGCTGCCCCACGGATCACTGGGCACCGCCACGGCCTGCAGCTTGGAGATGCAGTCAACGGGTTCGGCGGATCCATTGGATCCGGACACCGCCGATGGGGTCGTGGACCCATTGCCCGTCCAGGGCTCACAGGGCACGGCCGAGGCGGCCACCACTTCCAACCGGGCGATGCTGTCCTCCGGAATCGCCGCACTCGCCGTCGGCGGCAGTGGAACCTCCGCTTGGCTCTTCAGGGCGGCGACGGCGGTAGTAACTTCATGACCATTGCTAATACTTGGCTCCGTTGGCTTCATGGCATCCATGGATGCGTCCAACACAATGTGGTTGTTGTTGGACTCGACAGCTGGCTCCGTTGGCGATTGCTGTTGCTGCTGCTCCTCGAGCGATTCCAGGTAGTTGTTGTTGCTGATGGCCCACTTGTTGGCCTTGACGGGGGGCGGGGCACAGTTGCCCGTGTAGGTGGTGTTGGCATCCTTGCTGTCGAAGGTCAGCTCATGCTTCCGCTTGGTGGCGGCTGTTGCTTGAAGACCCATCGCGGAATTCACCTGCAATCGGAGAGAATATAAAATACATTTAGTGATTTGCCGCCGAAATGAAAAGCAAGTTACAAAAGGAGTTGAAAAGGGAACAAGGATACAAGTGTACAGAGAGAAATATTTTTGGTAAGCCAAAAAAAACCTTATGAAATCCTTGTAATTATTGAACCGCAAAAGATTAGCTAACTTTCACTTAAATAACCTTGTTTCAATTTCAAAAATTTAAGATCGAATCGTTCTTAAATATTTTCCATTATTCATAAATTTCGATTCGCTTTTTCCTTCTGTGCATCATAAATTTCCTCACGGTTCGCACGAGCCAACAAAGGACACACACAGCCAGCTAAAAACTTATCAAGAAAATGGAAGTCAGGCAGGGACGTGAACTCCCCCTTTCGCCCACTCAACCACCCACCTCACCACCCCCGTTCCTTCCACCCGCACCCGCACTCCCACTGCCACCCACTCGAGCCATGAAAATGAAATGGAAAATGCCAGCCAGGCAACAACAACAGTCAAGCCAGGCCAAGTCGAGGCTGTCTGTCCGTCAGTCCGCCACCCAACCCCCACCCACCCCCACCCCCTCTCGACTGCCTGGCATTGCTCATCGACGCTGCTCGAAATCTTCTTAAAATAAAACGCACAGAGGCGGAAAGGGAGGGCGGTACCCCGAGAATCGTGTGGGCTGCGACTATAGTCGCCATAGTCTTCCCATTCTGAATGCTCTTCTTCTGCTGGCTTTTTCCCATCAACTTCCGCCACATTTATTGTGGGCCTTCTCTCTCCTTTTCTTTTTTGAAAACTATTTTTGGGATTTCGAGTTCTGCTCCAGCCATGATTTTGGATCAACATTGGAACGGAACAATGCTAGAAAAGAATTTCCCGGAAGACTATGTGCCCCAAAAATACATTGCAAAGAACTAAAACATTGTAAGCTTTAGTTTACCTTAATAATTGATTAGGCGAAAATAAATGTATACAAATTGCTGATCATGGGTTTTATTATATAAGTTTTGACTGCTATTTAAATGCGTACTTGAATAATAATCTTGAATAAGTTTTAAACTCAAATACATAATAAGAAACTGGATACAATTTATAAATTATAAATACAAGTTATGACTTAAGTTTTCTTGGTTTTATAAATATGTTCAATGATCTTGAGATAATATAAGTACATGTTTACATTCCTCGCACCTCAAATGCATTTCTTAAGCGGAGATCAAACTTGAGCTTAAATAAGCTCAATCTGCCAACTGCAAACGGTCACCACCCTTCGACTTGCGTGTATATCTATAGATCGCTGAATCATGCTGGGTATTTCCAACTCACATCTTGCCGAAATCTCCCTTTTTTAAGAGTTGCCACCCTCCGATTGCCGGCAATCTGCCCAACTTCAGTGCCCTTCGCCGCGACTTTCCCTACTGAGTTTTGAACATCTGTGCGTACGTCGAGCGAGGAACGGCCTTTGTCATATCCATATATCCATATATCCATAAGGGTTGCCATATGCTCGCATATTTGCCAGTGCTGCTGCTTACGAAGTTGCTGCTGCAGTTGCCTTGAGCATTGGGGGAATATAATACGAGCCGGGACGGTAGAATTCTGGTGCCACAGAACAGCACAGAACTGAACAGAACCCGAACCAGAGGGTGAGTTTTCGTTTCGTTTTCGGTCCGCTGTTCTCTGTGTGTTATCGTCATCGAGGTCGGTCGTCGTCGTCGTCGCTGAGTCGCATGTGTTTCGCATTTTTCTACCCCCGTACCCTGCCCCTGCCCCTGCCCCTGCCCCTGCCCCTGCCCCTTGCCCCGTTTCCCTTGTTTGCCTCTGCCTGTCTGCCTCCGAGTTTGCCACTGCCGCATGTCTCATCATCGCATTTCATCCCTCGTTTCGTGTACTCGTTCGCGTCTGCAGCTGTATTTTCGGTGTTATTTTTGGTATAGGGGCTGGAGCGAGTCTAGACATGCTGGCCCATCGCTGCGGACAGATTCGCCCTTTTGGGAACACAAGCAACGTCTTTGGCCGCAGCGAGAAGTTCCCTTCTCGAAATGGAATTATCGGTTGCTCCATGCCCACAACCAATTCCCATTCCCGGGCTTAACTGACTGACTGACTCATTCTTATCATCGTCGTTTTAAAGGCGAGGCGCGCACTTATTGCTCATTGTTCTGTTGACAACTGGTCGTATGTGTAATGCGACCGAAGCTCGTTGCGCATACGCCGTGTGCGCTTAAAAGCTGCGCTAAAAACCAATCAGCTAAAAAGCTCCCCCCCCTGCCAAACCCCAATCAAATCAAATCAAATCGCATCAACAGAGCTTCGCAACGGGAAAACCAAAACGAACATCAACATCAACCTCCATACAACAACAAAAAAAAGAAAACTTTCTACGCTAATTTTCGTTCGAATGGAGAAATGCTGGCCATCATTATAAGCCGCAACAGCAACAGCAACAACATTTATACAATGCTGGCCATCATCTTGGGACTGGGACTGGCTGACTGGCTGACTAGCTGACTATCTGGCTGGCTCACAGCCTGATGATGATGATTTTCGAGCTGCGTTCGCTGGCAATGTTGCTGGAAGTTGAATTTTATTGCCACACCAACATCACTCAGGCAGTTTGAAGCGGCAACAGCAACCAGGCACCGCAGCAACACAAAAGCAGTCTCCCGTCAAGCGTTCGTTGCTTTTTACCCACCAGCAACATATACAGCAACAGCAATAGCAGCAATAGCAGCATTTTACGCTTCGCCAGCAACTCGTTTCAGCTGGCACTGGCAGCGGACTGAAAACTGAAAAGCAGGAGGAGCAGTTGGCGGAGCGAGGGGCTGGGGCGGGGGCGAGGGGCGAGGGGCATGGGTCTCCGGCTCCGACTGGCTCCAAATTGACGGCCCGAGTCTAAAGCTCGCACGCAGCGTCGCTGCAGTTGCTGTGCTGTTGCTGTTGCTGTTGCTGCAGTAACAACAAGCAACAACAGCAACATCGTCGCTACCTTCAAATTCCACAATATTCAAGTTTCAGGTTATGAGCCAACCAAGCAACCAGGCAGCCAGTCAGCCAACGAACAGAAACCAACCCAACCTGAGAGCCGGAGCCAGTCATCGTCGACGGCGGCAACAGCAATAGCAACAACAGCAACAACATCGGCAACTCGAAACGAAATGTTTGCCCGAAAGCCAGAGCCAAGAGCTAAGAGCCAGAGCCCGGGACAATGGCAACAACAACGAAACGTCGTCGTTCGCTGGGGTTTACTGTGGGTCGGAAATGAGCTAAAAATGGTTTCCATATTGGTAGCCATCAGTAAAGGTTCAATACTAAAGAAAAAGTCAATAATACCCTTAGATCAGGCAGTCCGTAGCTATAACCTTTTGCTCTTGTTTTTGGAAATGCTCGAGTTGAGTCATCAGCTGATAATACCAACTGCTTACGCCACAGTACATATACTAAAACCAATTATAATATAATATTCATTTCATTCAACTAATCTTTATACTGAATATTACTGCTTTATTTCAAGCATTAAGTTTTAATTTAATTGATAGATGTCATTTAAAATGTTTACCTAACTTTATTTTTAACTCACTAATAGCAAATGCTAGTGAAATACCTCTAATGACAAACATATTAAGGTGTTATTTTATTAAAACTTTATATTTAAATTCTTTTTTAAGACTCAATCTAATGAACTTTCAATAATCATTTAGTTTTGGTATTTTCTGCATTATCCTAAACTTTACACCGGTACCCTCATTTTTCCTTCATTAAACCCCATTCCACGCCACTGTGCTCGAGAGTCGACTTCCAAGCATTTAAGTCGGTCGCCGTTGTCGATGTCGCTACCTCCAGTGCCTGCCTGACTTCGACTTCGTCTTCGGCTCTGACTATGACTATGACTCTGGGTTTAACTCTGGGCTGTGGGCTCTAACTCTGGCTCTGACTGTGACTCTGGCCCGATCCACTCCGGTCGGAGCGGGTCTGCTCTGGTCTGGGGCCCCACTTTGAATTCTTCGGCTGGGGCGCACAACACAACGTGCGATACCAGTGAAACGAGCGGCGCACAAAAAAAAAAAAACGTCAAGAAAAAATAACATGTAGAAGCAAAAAGCCGAGTTTCGGTTTTCGAACTGGGTTTTGGTTTGGGTTTGGGTTTGGGTTTAAGCCGCGATCTCTGCCAAAGCAATTTAAGTGTACGAGCCAAAGAGGAAGAAGAAACTTTGGGAACATAAAAAAGAGCGCGCGGCCCGAAGACGGCGATGAGGCATAATAAAAAAAATTACCAGCGGGCTGGAGTTCAACGGAGTAGAAGTAGAAGAGGAAGAAAGGCAGCGGTCTGCTCATCATAATAAAAATGAATTGAATTGAAGACGCACCAGTACCAGCAGCAGCACCATCACCACACCACCCGATCTCCCACTCTTCTTTCTCGCGCTCTTTTAGCTCCTTAGTTGGTGGATGTGGATGTGGATTTGGATGTGGATGGGAAGAAGCTCGAGATGACGCCGATATGGTGGCCTGTCTCTCGGTGTTTCCCATGCTGGCTTAGTTATTTTTCCCTCCCTCATGGTGAAAACTTTGAATGCAAACACCCACAACAATAACAGAGCGCTTGGCGAGCTATTTGCTTATAGCGGCACATGACGATGTGGGAACGGAAAGATTTCCGAACCCGGCTTCCCAGTACGCTTGAACTTCCATAACTCGACGACCCATAGCTATTTAGCATTTGTAGCAATTGAGTTTTACAAACTATGCAAAATTATTATTATAAAATATTTATGAAAAATATTAGACCTAGAAAGTTTTTATTATTTTTACGAGTGATTCAGCTTGAGTTTCTTAGTCTTAATAGGTTTAAGCCCTAAAAATTCGATAGTTATCTTATAAGTTGTGATATAGTCTAACTATATCTAATGAGTAACACCATAAGGGAATAAATATTTAAACCAAATTATAAAGAAATATGTAAAGGGGACAAAACTATAACGAAATCGAATCCGTATAAATTG